ACTCATATCCTAGATGTTCTGTACGACCCCTGTAGGTTCTCTAACATATAAAATGAACCTGTAAATGGAAGTACAGCTTATCTGTCCATAAAAGGAAGTACAACACAAGGTTTCTGTTCTTCTGAGACCACACTGAACTTTCACTGCTGCGTCCCAACCTTCGATCTACAGAACCTCGGGGATCCAGAGTTCATTCTGAAAGGCAGAGTTTCAGGATTGGGGGCGCCTGGAGGGGCCTGGAGGAAGGTCTGATGCAGCCTGCGGACTTCGGCGACCCGTGGGAAAACAAAGCTGTGCCTCTGGGGCTGCAAAGCTCTGCTGTCTCCTGATATTTAAGTGGCGAATTCCGATAATTTATAGATTGTCCTGTGCTCTGTCTCTTCAGACCATGAATGCAATGGTCTCAGGCAATCTAGATGTACAGTTGGGAGGTCAGAGTCCAAAATGAGCTCTAAAGGCCTGGGGTCCGAGCTCCGTCCCTTCCAGGGCCTGGGGCAGCAGGACTCCCAGGCTGCCTCCCAGCTCCCCCAGGCCACCCGCGGCCTTCAGCCCATGCCCCCTGCTCATCTTCAGTGGCACAAGTCCAGGCCTCGTCTCTGATGCCCGCCTCTCCTCTCCCACTCCACAGCTTCCTCTTCCCAGGCAGGAGTCCTTGCAATCACACGGGGCTGTTCAGCTGTCCCAGCAAACCTGCCTACTGCCACACCCTGAGGATCACAGTTTCAAAATCTCTCTCACTGTGCAAAGGAGCACAGTCTAGGTTCTGGGGATGAGGACCTGGACTTCTCTGGGGAGCCCTTCTCCCACCTCACACAGGACTCATGGCAGAGGGCAGTGTTGCAGCCACCTACACACCCTTGGAAGGCGAGGGAGTGCATCCTCCCCACCTCCTGTCTGAGCAGCACAGCCAGGCCGAGGCAGGCACCGTGCCCCCGTGATGAAATCAGCCCATGCATTAGCGGGTCCACCGGCCGGCAGCAAAGGACAACAGTAACTGGCAATATGAATAAGGACTGGACTTGTCACTGTCATCCTAACGTATATCCTTGGAGAGAAGACTAGAAGCCACATGGTTATCTCCTTCTTTCCACGCAGCTTCCCAATGTGCCTGCCCTGGCCTGATGGTTCCTGAGCCCAGAAACGGCTCTGTTCCCCAGGGAGGTCTCGTTTACCTCCCCAAGAAGTTTCCTTTTCACCCTTGGTCCTTCCTAGTCCCCACTCTGGGCACATGCAGAGTTGGGTCCCCTTTTAAAAGGTAGCTCTTCCAGGACTGCATGGTGACTTGTCCACCCCAGTGCCTCTTGCTTTCCCAGCAGGGCCATGCTGAGAGAGAGGGGACTATGAGATGTGGCCTCCGACTCAGAAACCACTCAACCCAGATCTTCCCCTTTCTTGGGCACAGTGCTGGTAAAGTGTGAGGAAGAGAGTGCTGAACAGTGCTGGGAAATACAAGGAAAGACCAGGCCTCAGGCTGCCTTGTCCTCAGATTCTGACGGGGCTCTCTGAAGCAGGTCTGGAAATCTGCACCTAGGAAGATACCTAAGAGTGTGGGTGCAGGTCTGGGGGAGTCTGTAGGCCACAAACCTCAGTGCTGCTGCTGAGTGCAGCTTCCTCTGGGACTTGGGATCAGCCCCAAAGCTGCCAGAAGCATCCTGGCAATGAGGTGCACAGGGATCCGGGGACCCTTCCTCCTTCCACAGAGGGGCGACATGGACTCAACCAAGGTCAAGGACATCTGAGCCACTGCACATCTTCCTCCGGGCCATCCACCCTGCAGACAGCTCTGGAGTCCCCACAGGCCTCCCTCACTACCCACTTCCTTTGGCCACTGTGGGACACTGGCACCACCCAACTTGTGCAGTTCCAGGCTCCTCAGGGCAGGGAATCTTGAAGGCAGGTTTCCCTGGACTGAGGAATATGGTGCAGAGGGGGACCCAGAGGAGTGGAGGGTCTAAATCCTGCACTGTGGGCCTTAAGTCAGAGGGAACAAGAGCAGATCCATGGCCCACCACCCAGGGCACTCAATGTCCACCCACACCACTACCTACCCCCCACTGCCTACTTGCAGCACTACCTACCCACACCGACTACCACATATGTCACTCACCACCTAACCACAATGCATACCACTGCCTATCGCACCACTATCTACCCATACCACTGACTACCACCTATACCCCACTGACTCACCACTATCCACACGCCACACCACTGCCTATTCACGCCACTACCTACCCACACAACTACAGCACTCACTACTCACCCCATACCACTGCTGCCTACCCACACCAACAACAATACAACTCACATCTACTCACACTCCACACCACTAACTGTCCACATCACCCACATCCTACTCACCACTGAATAACTACCCACACAACTGACTACCTTACCACACCACTGTCACCCACCCACACGTCTGATAGTCTACCCACACATTCACCACATACCTGTAATGTTGCCAAACCAGCCCACACAGACAACTACCTCCACACACCACACCCTCCTCCCTCCCCACAGGCCACTCACCCACCTCGCCAAGGCTGTCCCTTGCCTCAGCTCTGGTTCCTCTGACAGCCTGGTCTCCAGCTTCCTCCTGACTTGCACATCTGTTTGTTTGATGCACCACTACCTAGCCATACCACTGACTACCACCTATGTCACTCACCACCTAACCACAACGCACACCACTACCTGGTGTGCTCTGGAACCTTTCGGTTGCCACTGGCCTATTGACCTTTCATGTTCCTTTTCCGCATTGCTTTTCTAAAGCCCCTGCCCCCAAGTACGCAAGTGATGTGTATTTAGTATCCTGCTTACATCCTGTTTCTGTGTTACCTACAGGTCCAATGTGCGCATCACACCGCTGGAGGTCCAGCCACATAGCAAGCAAGGGGCACAGTGTTCACACTGGACTGTCCCGCAGGCCAGGTGTGGGAGCTCTCTCTGGCTGAGGCTATGGGAAATGCTAACAGTGCCATAAAGTCCTGCAGGGATCACGGTCAGCAGTTTACACTGGAAGGAGTGCTGGATGACACATGTCCACTCCAAAGGGATAAGAAGAACTTGTCAGCACGTCACAGCTGCATGTGACACTGGCTGGCCAATGCATTCCTCTGCTAGCCCTGGCTTTCGCTCCTGGCTCGGGGTGCAGTGTCTGCTTATTATCTAGCTTTAGTGGATGCTTCTCCCTGGTCAGTGTGCTCTCACACCACTGAACTCTGACACCAGCACTTCATGGCCTGTCCATCAGGCTGGGGTTACCTTCTTTCCGGTTACGAGGACAAGCATCTGCCTCCTCGCGGGGCTCACAGAGCATCCTTGACCCTGTGAATTCCCAGACAGCTCTGTGGCCTGTGTGGGCATGGGGCCACAGGTCTGCACATGCTACATCGGCCAGCACTGACTTGGACGTGCTGCAACAACAGCAATCCCCAGGTGCCAGCGGCTTCAGCCAGGGGCTACTCCTTCACCCGGGCATGTAGCTGAGGAGACTGTCCAGAAGCTCCTGCTGGGAATGGGGAGTGCAGCCTGGTGCCTGCAAGCAGGCGCCTTCTCTGACCGGAAGAGCTGCGAGGCCACACCTGCCTACAAAGAGCAGGAACACACAGCCCCATGTGCAAAGGAGGAGGAGCCACACCTTCATGGGTTGGTTACCAGCACCCAGGTAACCTGCTCTCCTTGGACCAGTCTTTCCCAGTTGACTCTTAATGTTTTAAATATTCTCTTCCCATGCCAGACAGTGTTCCAGCTGGTGGCAAAAACCAAACAAAGCCAAGGCCAGCACTACTGCCCTCCATGACAGGTGGACCTGGCCCGCCTAGTCGAAGTACTCTCACTCCGTTTTCATTACTGGTCCTCCTAGCTAGCACTCAGTGAGCACCGACTCACACTCACACACAGCCTTTGCAAGGCCTCAGTGGGCCCTGGAGCTGCCCCTGCAGGAACCCTGCCCAGGAGACCGCCCTGTGCCATACTGTAACACAGAGCTGTCTACCGCAACCTTCCTGGGAAGGCTCATAAAGGGGCTGGGCCACATTCCAGAGAGGGCCTTGCAAGGACTCCCAAACTGTGTGCTGCATGGTTGGGGTGCTTCAGGTACTGCAGAGGGTGAAGAGGCGGCCACCACCCCCTTTAGCTCCACACCTAACACAAACGAGATTTAAAGTGTTTTGATCTTCTGAAAGACAGAAAAGGGAACCGGAAGACTGAGTCTGTGGGCTCTCCGTTTACATATGTAGATAAAATAAATGTACAGGAAAGTTAAGTAACTTAACAAGGTCACGTAGTGAGTGAGGACTTGCCCAAGGCTGGAGCCACCAGATGCAGCCCTAAACTCAGGAGTCCTCCTTCTTCCTTTCCTCTTTAATTCACACCGAGTAGGCAGAGAAGCGCTGAAAACAAACATCTGAATGTCTGTGGGCAGTGCTCATCAGCAGGCAAAAGCAGGCTGTCGACTCAGGACCTCAGCTCCTCCCTGCCGGCTGGCCGGCACGCACAGGGCTGCGACTGGAGCCGCGGCCGCCCCTCCCTCTCCGGTCTCTGGACGGATCTTGCCTGCAGCACGGCCATCTCCGCCAGCCGCCTCGCACCTCGCATCCCTCCCTGGGGCTCCGCCGGAAGCACCACAGCTCAGGTCTCTGCCGGGGACAGGAGGAGAGACACGGCCTCCCCAGCTATGCTGCCAAATACAAGAGAGTTAATAATCACAGCAGCTTTCAGGGGCTGGAAAGGCACAGCAGTTTTGCCTGTAGCATTGGCCAGGGGGAGGGAAAACATTATGTATCTAAAATTCAAAAGGAACATGACATCGACAAAGAAGCCTTTGTCTCTTCCACGTACTAAGTGCATACAACGCTGCCTCACTAAACTCATCAGAAATGGAAATGAACTGTTCGATCTATTCTTTTCACCGGTAGCTGACATTTATTTTCAGTCTCAGGTCTCTGCAAATGTCTCAGACATATACAATAAAAAACAGACTTTATTTACCAGACATTTGAAGCTTTCCCTCTGGGCTCCGGTGAAATCTGAACGTGCCGTTTCTGCAGACGCACCACTGTCGGGCACTCTGCCCTCCTCCTCCGATGCACAAGCAAGCCCGTTGGGGGGTGGTACAACTCCAGCGCCCTACTCGCTCGCTTCACCCACGGCTCTGGATTCCACGATTCCTGAGAAATGTTTACTGGCTGCGAGCCGCCGGGCCGGAGCTCATGGGGTCGCGCGGCCGCAGGAGGGCGGTCAGCTCCAGGCGAGGCTGCGGGACCGCCCAGATCACCCAAACGAGAAGGGTGGGCCGCGCACCGGCTGCCGGAAGCCTGGGGGCACGGCAGGCACCTACCGGGCCACAACTCCTCCCGGAAACTCTTCGTGTCACTCATAAAATCGCAGCAGAGCCCGATCACAGCCACAGGGCAGCCGCAGGGCCCCACCAGCTCCGCTCCAGTCGCCGCTTGCACAGGAGAAATCGGCGCAAAGTCCCTGTCCTCCCTCGTAGCCTGGGTTCTGCCCTCCCTTGAGGACTTCATCCAAACCTACTCGATCCTTTCCTATGCAGACAGCCGTTTAACACGGTCTCCCAACAGAACGGCGCTGGCGAGTGAGACAGGAGTTGGGCAAGCTGCGGGGATGCCGCCGCGGAGGCTCCTGCGTCCTGCGCGCGTAGGTCACTCGGTTGCTCTGGAGCCCCGGGAGCCCCGGGGCGCGGGAACGAGCGCGCGAGGTCGAGCACTCCCCGCCAGGCCCAGCTCCAGCGCCCGCGGGTGAAGTTGCAGCCCTAGTCCCCCAAGCACCCTTCCCGTCCGGATCCACTGCCGGCCGCGCGGGGGGCACCGGCTCAGCGGCCGCTGGGGTAGACCCGGCTTTGCGCCGCAGTTGGCACCTCCGAGGGCTTCCAGCCCGGGAAACTTCCCCACCACGGCGCGGCGCCCACGGACTGGCCCCAGTGTGGGGGCGCCACGGACGCACCTGGCCCGCACGCGCGCGCACGTGGCTCGCGACCCGCCCCCGGAGCCCGAGTCTCCCCAGGAGCCTGCGTCGCCGCGAGGGAGGAGGAGGAGGAAGAAGAAAAGGAGGAGACCGCGCAGCGTCGCTTCGTCCTCACCTGCGCGCCGCCCTCCGGCCTGCAGCCCGGGTCGGCTCAGTCCAGCCGCGTCACGGGTCGGAGCTGCCCCACCGCGCCCGCCGGGCACACGGCGGAGACTGCGCGCTCCCGGGGGCGGGCCCGAGCCGGGCGCCGGGAGCCGAGCCCAGCCGAGCCGCGCGCCGGGGACCCCCGCCCGCGCCGAAGGTGACCGCGGCCCCGCGCGCCGGCTGTGCGGCTCGTGGCCGGGTCGGTGGGAGCAGCAGCTGGGCTCATGGATTCCTTCTTGGCCCGTGTCAGCCTGATGGGTACCCAGACTGGGAGACTGATGGGCACGTGACCTCCAACCCGCGCGCACACACACATGCACACACGCGGAGCCCCGCATAACCAGGACATGCTTGCAGAAACCCACGTGGACACAAGGATGGGAACCAGAGTAGTCCGGAGTGCACATCCCGCACTCCCGTTTCGGAGGGAAAGTAAAGCTTCCCTAGGTCCCTGCGTGGGTGGTCCCCCCTCACCCCCCCCACCCCCACCACTTCCACACCCTGGCTGGTGCGTGGTGGGTCCAGTGCGGGCTGCCCTGCCAGCCTCACTATGGTGCCCAGAACATGAACCTGGGCGTCACCAACACTTGCAAAGCCTCCCAGAGTGACAGGTGCTGAGGACTGGAATTGCCTCTTTGCCTTTACACCCTTTCTATGAGACAAATCCAGACTCGTTCTAGGAAGGGCCGCAGGCTTGAAAGAGTGAAATTGGTTTGTACTTTGCCCGAGGATTCTAAATTCTTAAGTCCTAACTTAAGTAGTCCTGTCTCTTGGTCCCGAGGTTGCTCCCAATAACAGGAGGCAGAAGCCCAGCGAGTGGGATCCAGGCCAAAAGCCCGTGTGTGGGCAGACAGCAGAGGGGACATCCGAGCCTGCAAAACCCATTGCCCTGAGTTTAAAGGGTTGGTGACCAAGACCCAAGCAGGGGGACTCTGCTCCCTAAAGTGAGAGGCAGCTCTGGAGAGAGCAACGGGAAGTCCCCTCTTGGGGATCCCATTCATCCATTTCTTCCTGAAACACCCCATTTTTCAGGTGAAAATCACAGCTTCCTAAAGCTCAGAAGGGGTAGAAATCTGTCCCCGCCCCTGCATAGGTTACCTTGGAAAACTTTTAGAACAGCTCTTAAATTGTTTTCTTTCTTGAGTACGGGGCAGTGCAGGTTGCAATCATCTTAGGGAGTTGGTAAGTAAACACAGCACAGCTTTCTTTTTTACTTCCTTTCTCCCCACCCCTTCCCTCACGCCTCTTCTCATTTCCCTTCCCCCAGTTCTCCTTGGTTTTGGTACTCTTAGTTGGTCTCCTCTGGCGCAGATGTCCATGAAGCTATGAGGACCCTGTACCTGGTGCATCTGCACTCTACTAAATCTGCCTTCCTCCCTGACCCTGCTCCCCTGCTCCCTCAACCCCTGTCCCCTGCACCCCTACAACCTTCCCATCTGCTAGAGGTCTATCCCCTTATCTCCTGTCCTTTCTTTAGTTTCCTCTTAATTTGTACTTTGCCTCACTCGGAGGAGAGATACCATGTGGTATTTAAGTTCCTGTGTCTGGCTTGTTTCACTCAACACTGGATTTTCTAGGTGTACTTGTTTTCCCACAAATGTCTCAAAACATGTCCTTTTCATATTCAGGCAGCTGTCGGTGGGTATACACGCTGTTCTCAGAACATAGCTGTTACAAACTGTATTGCTATAAACTCAGGTATGCATGTATTGCTACAGCATGGTGCCTTAGGCTCTTTGGGGAAGATTAGAAATTCCATGTAACCCAACTCTTAAAATTTTAAATAGCATAAAAGGAATGTGGAGCATAGAGCTGTGACCTTAGGCGATTGCTCCACTGTAGCCAGAAGTTGGCAGGGGCTGCTCACAGGTACAGGTGCCTCTGTTCAGCTGGGTCATCTGCCAGGCTGCGGGAAGCATCATTCCCACTTTGTACTTGGTAACTTTTTCCTTCCCAAGAGTCACTCTCTTGCTATCATTATTGTTATTCTTATTTGGATGCATTTGTCTCCCCAATACCCAGATGTTAAAGCTGGCCCTGGAGGAGGTGCTGTCTGCAGCCTTGGGGTAGCCCCTTGGTGCTCTAGGTCCCCAACTGCCTCTCCCTTTTTGTTTCCTGCCACACCGGAAGCAGCCAACACTGTCACCACGTACTCTGCTGTTTCCATCCAAAGCCCAGAGCAGTGGGTCTACCTGCTCCTGGGCTGGGACATCCAAAACTGTGAGTCAGAATTGCCCTTGTCTCTTGTGAGTCACCTTGGGTACTCAGGACTGTGATGTAGGGAAAGCGGACACCACACACAGGTGGTGTTCTCCCTTGGGTGCCCCTGCTGGGAAGGGTTCTGCCTGTCTCTGCCTCTTTGTGCAGCTGTCTCTACACACCTCACACTGGCCCCCAGTGAGAGGAGGTCGCTCTGAACCTCTCATCAGCGTAGAACCATAGCAGATTGTTTGTCCATGGCCATAAGGTGTGAAGTTGGATGGGTGCATCTTTGTGGCACTGTATTCCAGAACACATGAAAACTACTTTCTTTCACTTCGGTCTGAGAACAGCGGAGAAGGGTGTGATGAAGCTGTGCGCTGTCCTATGGTCCCCAGCGGGGTCAGCATGCAGAGCCCACCTGCCTCTGCCTCTTCCTTCCTGTGCCCCGGGGCTCCCACCAGTGCTTCCTGTGCACTCTTTCACCACAGACCTACTGCAGTATTAGAAAAGGACCCCAGGTGCAGTACCACTAAACAAAGATGCCATCACCACACGCCTGCTGGCTCAGCAGGCCTTGTCTTGAAGCTGTTTCTCAACTTATCCTGAGCTTCATTCCTGTCACCTACAGAAAGGGAATAAGAGGTGTCACAGGGTTGCTGAGGAGATTGAACAAGTGCAAGTACAAGACTGCAACACGCTCAGCAAATGTTTGTGGCTCTTACCTTTTCAGAGTGAGGGGAGAGAGAGAGAGGAAGGAGGAGAGAGGGAGGAGGAGGGGAAAAGGAGGAGAAAGGGGGAGCGAGGAGAGGGAGAGAGAAAAGGAGATGGAGATGGCGGCAGGAGGAGGAAAGAGGAGGGAGGAAGGACTGGCAGAGGGGAAGGGAAGAGAAGAAAGAAGGCAGCAGAGAGTGGGGAGGACGCAAGTCCTTGCATCTTGGGTGTCGAGGCAGGTTAGCAGACTGATCTGTGGTTCTCCTCTGTGCCTCCACTGTCCTGGGTGCCCAGGGCTGTCACCTGCCTGGGCAGCCTCCCTTGGCCCTGGGTTTCCCACATCCTACCCCACTTAGCCTCACTTGTTCTGGATCCTGTGTAAAGCCTTAGAAGGATATGCATCATGAAGAAATAAATCTCAGGGATGAAGACATTAGTTTCAAGCAGTAGAAAAGAGTAGTGTCTACCCCTGTCTCCCAAGGAAAGACATTTAGTCTGATTTCTGTTCCCAGAGGAGTTTGGGAGAAACGACAGGTGTGGGAGATACAAACGGGGGTGAGGTGGGGGACAGAAGGGCTCTCCAGCCTGACTCCTTGGCTGGGAGGTCAGTGGGCAGACACAGGTGTCAGCAGGTTGCCAGTCATGCCGATGAGTTCCAGAAGGAACTGTGAACTTGGGAGCTGCCTTGTGCCTGGGCACAGGCTTTAAACTACAGCCCGGGGCAGGCTTCCTCTAAGTGTCCTGGAATGCTGCCAAGGGAGGAGCTCAGAGCAGTGCGGGCCTCCCAGGTCTGGCTGAAGCCGAGGGGCTTCTGGACCACGGGAGTGTGGTGGGAGCTGCACTCACCTGCAGGAGGCTGAGGATGGCGCTGAGCTGGGTACACTCACCGGGATTAATCCATGGGCCACTGAGTTCCACTGGGCTTCTTTGCAAACAGGGTTTCCAAGCAGAGTTACTGCAGCGGTGTGCTTGAGAGGTGCAAAGAGGTGCAATGGATCCTTAC